TCATTGTACCAAGCCAGAAGAGCTTATTTAAGACCATAGATTGCTTTATTGAGTTTGCACACATAGTTGGCATGTTGAAAATCAATGAACCCTAGCAGTTGGGACATATAGACATCTTCATCCAACTGACCTTGAAGAAAAGCATTATTAACATCCAACTAATGAAGAAACCGACCATGGAGGACAGCTAAGGAAAGAAGGACACGAATGGTGGTAGGTTTTGCCACGTGGCTAAAAGTGTTATGGTAATCAAGTCTAGGGCATTGATGAAAGCCCTTCGCTACAAGTCTGGCCTTGTAGCGATCTATTATACCATTAGGTTTTCTTTTGAAACGAAATACCCACTTAGAGCCAATTATATTATGAGATTCATTAGGAGAAACTAAGTCTCAAGTACGATTACGAGGAAACGCATCAAACTCTTTGGACATTGTAGCATTCCAACGAGGGTGTTTAAGAGCTTGAGTGTGAAACTGGGGTTCAAAGTCATCCAGGGAGGTAGTGACATGAAGGCTGTACTTTTGATTTGGTATGAAGATGTCCTTCTTGGATCTAGTGACCATTGGGTGAATGGAGGTGGAAGGGTGTTGAGCAGGTGGATCACTACAAGAGATATTGCATTGGGTATCAGTAATTGATGAACAACCGAACGGTTGTCTAGTAGAATGGATGTTTGGTTGGGGTAGAGAAGACTCGAAAAAGTCGTGGTTAGTGGTGTGGATTCGCATACTTGGTGAGGTAGGTATCATGGGACTTGGTGGGGGAGGTATTGGCAAGAGATGACCAACACAGAGGCCTTCCTAGCCACTTCAGGTGGTACCATTTCCAGTGAGTTACTATTTGAGCCAATACCACCACTAGCTGAGGAAGAAGATTGAAATGGGAACTCAGACTCAGCAAATGCAACATGACGTAAAACATAGATCTTTTTAGATGAGCGATCATAACATAAGAAAGCACTTTGAGTAAATGAGTAGTTGAAAAATACACACGAATAAAAGTGAGACTCTAACTTGTGAGATGTATAAGGACGTAACCAGGGATAACAAAGGCAATCGAATACACGAAGTTTTGAGAAATTTGGAGGAGTTTAAAAGAGACATTCAAAGGATGATCTCATTGAGAGGTTTCGTTTAGGCATACGATTGATGAGATATACAAGTGTTACGAAGGCAAAGGGCCAAAATTGGGGGGGGGGGGGGAGTGTAACATTAAGCCGATTTCAACAATGTGATCGTGTCAGCATTCTAAGAAACCATTATGCTCAGTTGTGTGAGGTGGGGTTTTTAGGTGGGAAATACCATGAGTTCGAAGAAAAGCTTTGAGAGCTAGATATTCCCCACCATTATCGGTGTAGAGTGTGATGATAGGTTGGGCAAAACATTTGAAGCATTTGAACACAAAAATGATATCATATTTATATTTAAGTAGGTAGAACCAGATATACTTGGAGTAATGACAAACAAAAATTGTATAATATTTATAGCCATCACATGATACAACTGAAAAGGTCCATACATATGAGAACACTAAGTCAATAAAGGAATGGGATGTAAGGGATGAATCATGAAAAGGTAATATTTATGACTTTTATTGCATAGACAAGCATTACAATGAAAGGTAGTTGATTGACTAGTAGAAAAAGACAGATAAGGACGATGATAAATGACGCATAACTCTATTAGACGAATGACCTAAATGATTATGCCATAGAAAAAGGGATTCATGAGACATAGAAAAAGCTAGTGGTGATTCCGACACACCCAAAGATGATGACCAACTGTAAATGCCGCCCTTAAGTGGTCCTTGATGGAGGATGGCCCTTGTACGAGGGTCCTGCACCTAAAATTGTGTTGGAGTAAAAACAACAATAACATTGTTAGTTATACATAACTGAGAAACAGATAATAAATTTTTGTTCATTGAAAGTACACATAGGGCATAAAATTTTTTTAAGGTAAATGAGTGATAGGGAGGGGAGAGGGAGCTCGTGTGGGTAATTTTCAAACTTGTACCGTTGCCAATTACAACATCATCCGTTCTCTCATATGGAGAGTGCAGTGAGAAATTGACAAGATCTGTTGTCACATGATGGGTGACACCGGAGTCAAAAATCCATTTGGATAATGTCAGGGAAGAGGTGGCAGTGTTGGCTTGAGGAGAAGCATAGCCTAGTTTATTTTGCCTCCAAGGTGCTATGGAATTAGTCCAGGGAACATGTTTGAAGGCAAGGCACCGTTTAGAAGAATGGTTTTATTAGTCACATAGCTAGCAGCGCCTAAGATATGGACGAGAACCCTGATGATTAGGTGAATGTTGTGATCGTGGGGGCCATGCCCCGGAGGAGCAAAGAGAGTCAGATTATGGCAAACCCGTGGGACCATTATGCATTATATGAGATGATGTAGATTTTCCACCTGCATGAGCAGTGGCTGAGAAGGTTATTTAGGTTCCTTTTACAACAGCAAGGTGTGTTTCACGGTTGAGAAGTTTTTCGTACAATTTTTTAAAGGAGATTGATCTCTCTTGGGTGTGAATAGCATTAGCAAGTTCTTTATAATACTCATCAAGTCCATTGAGAATTTTTATGGTGAGATCCTCAATATCAATAGGAGCATTCATCATTGCAAGTTCATCAGCCTCGGTCTTGATGTTTTGTATAAGTTCGGTGATCGTTTGAAAGCATTTGACTGGGCAACTGAGTTGAGTTTTTGATTGGGTTATACGGCTACGGGTTGGTTTGCAATATGTGCGAGCAATGGTCAACCAAACATCTTGAGACATCTGAGCGATTGCAATAAATGGAATCAAGGTTAGAGACAATGAGCCGATGATAATGTTCAAAATGAGTTGATCTTGCCGGATCCATGTATGATGTGTGGGGTTGACAATGGCGACACCATTAATTGTGATGGTTTTCTCGGGGCATGATTTTGTTCTATCAACAAACCCAAATAGGTCATAACTGATAAGAAGAGTTGAGAACTGGAGGCACCATTACAGACAATTGGACGTAATAAGCTTAAATGGCACTTGCGCAACAACATTGAAGGAGATGATAGGATGCTGACTAGCTAGAGCGTCAGTGGCGGTGATTGGTTGAACCAGAATGGGAGCATTTGTGGATGGAATGGAGGAGGAAACATGCACTGGGGAGGATTATGAGACCATGATGGCAGCAACACTAAGCCGACAGTGGATAAAAAGGAGAAAGAAGAAAAAAAATTACTTCTTTCTAGTGTGGGCGTGAGCTAGCGGCTCTAATACCATAACATGAATTAGTTTATGATGTTTATTGCTTGAATGAGTACAGAGATATATACACCATGAATTCACCAATAAGGAATGCATATAATTGAGGAAGTAGAATATTCAAATTAACTACGGTTTAATTTAAGAGATATTGATAATATTATCACAAAATATTAAGATGCTGCAAGATATAAGGCAATGTGTATCTGTTATGACACATGGTTGCATTTTTTACCAAAACTGAGAAGTACATAAATATTAAATACGTAAAATGAAATCAGGAAAAAAAAGGATAACAAATGAAAAAAAAAAACAAATTTGGAGGAACGGAGAATATTCTAATAAAAAAATCTTTTATATAAAGGTTAATAATAGAAGGTACAGAAGGTTGCACCATTTATAAACTTTGTCAAAACACAATATAATACAAATAAATGAATTACTAAGAGAGATAAAAACAAAGATTGGTGGTTCCAAAAAGATTATGCCTCAAAAAAAGAATGTTTCAAGCTTAAAAATGGGATCAGAATTTTAAGTGAGAATGGTTAGTAATATTATTCCAAAAAAGAAAAGAAAACACACAAAAAAAGAAAATAATCACTAAATGCACCACCATCTCAAAACAAGAGTAATTTATGATATCATAAATACAAATGTCAAAAAATATTCAAAAGGTAGACTACTCAGAAAAGAACATTGCTAAAGGGAATAAAGCGATAAATGATGAAGAAATAATCTATTTCTCATCAATAGACGTATGGTAACCACCTCCACTCAACACTTCCCCACGATGATGCACGAACCATCGTAGATAACGACAATTCAATCAAAAGCATCATCTAAGAGGTTTCGATTAGATGGACATTCTTACAGAATGATTATACACTACCCTTTAATATGATTTAACGAAACACAATAAGTAAACAGTTCCATATCCTTAACATTTACAATTGGGAACTATTCAAGGTGAGCCATGGTGCCACTTGAGGTTCTCGTAGTAAGAATTAGTTTGACCTATAATATTATTCTAGAATAATTATTATCTTGTATACTCTAAGCACAATTATTTCTATCTCTTATGAAATTTAATATCTCATCAAGTATATAAAAAGTTAAAAGAGATCAAAAGGTAGCCAAAATATATTGTTAAATCACCCTAATAATAAAAGCTAACCCTTTAAATCCACTCAAAAAAAGGACAAAAAAAGACGAGAATTTGTTAAACCGTCTATATGAATTATTTCATCAAATAATATTTATATAAAATGACAGTTAGTAAAATGTGAACAAATTCTTTAAAATAATAAAAAAAAAATTAACTCGATATAATTGCTTGAAATACTTCCAAAATAAGATAAATTTATCAAGATATGATCCGGTATAAACTATCAATTAATGCTTCAAATCCATCAAACAAAAGTGAAAAAACTCTGTCCTAGGTAGTCAAGAGGACTTAGAAGAAAAGGTAGAGAAATTTTCTTACAATTTAACTTGTCATGGCTAATTCTTACTTTTGTGGGGAAAAAAAAAAATGTTTTTTGTTGCCTGTAATTGATTTTCTAAACCTGATTTTTTTTTTTTTTTTTTTTTAAAAAATTTTTGAACAAGCCCAAGATCTATTAGGTGATTTAGTGTTCCATTTATTACGTCATGCACAACCGAACTTTTCTTTTCTTTCTTTATAGGTTTAAATATCAAATAATTATTTTGAGAATATAACAAAAATGTTACAAATTCATAAATTTTGTTCAAGAACAGCTTTGTAATGAGGAGAATATAACGAATATTCGGATTGCGCCGTGTAAACACCCTAGAGCTAGGGTTTTAACCCAGCCGACTCGCGCAAGTCGACACAACCGTTTGAACTATCGCAGAGACTGAGTGAGTGCCGACATGGAGAAATCAGTGGCGACTCTCGATAGAGGAGCAACATGCTCTTCGTGGAACTACTGTGGCCAACGCCTAGCCTCTGGCACCGTGGATGGAGACGTTGCTGTATTCGACACTCGGGACCCGGCCGCTTCTTCTTCCTTGACATGCATCTCAAAATTCAAGGTTCATTTTGATTTTTGTTTTTCTCTTTTGCTGCCTTTTCATTGATGTGCGAGGAACTTCAAAACTTCACTCAATTTGAATTGTATCTGGTCAAATTTGGATTATTTGTTCTCTCTGTCTAGAAATTGGAGATGTACTAGTGTTTACCTTTCTAAGCAATTTTTCCTTTGATTTTCGGATTTCTTTTTTAATCTTCGTTATTGAGTTATTGTTATTCAGGTAAATGAGGCCGCCATCTTGAAGATTGTTTGGGTGCCTCCAGAATATGGTGATGCCGTTGCCTGCATTTCTACGGATGGGAGTTTGTCCTTGTGGGAGGAGGTTGTAGAAGGTATTCATTTTGGTTTATGTGTTTCTGGTATTATAGAATCTGAAAATATTTTTGTAACTGCAGAATGTTGGATAGGATTTCATCATTAAATCTGATTACTTTTTCAGCTGTTTTGGTTGATAAACCCATTTATTTCACAGAAAAATCAAGGATCTGATTGTTATTATTGTTATCATCTTTTGATCGTAGATGCACAATCCCTTCAATGGAAGCTGCGGAACAGCTTCAAGAGCAATTCATCCCAAGTGCTTGATGTTCAATTTGGAGTATCAACTTTGGGTTCAAGGATGGTAAGAATTTGTTCCCTATCTGGTTATCTTCATTGCTATATGGTTGCTGAAACTATGGATTCATTTCTTTTCTTAGAAAAATGAAATCGCATGTGATGCTTGCAGGTAGTATATGCTAATTTCTCTTTTGTTGTTTGGTTTTGGATAATCCTTAGTTGCTTTCTCTCATTAATTTTTTGGTCTATCACTTCATAATAACTTACAATGGTTATAGTTTCTATTTTTATGACAGAACTAGCACATGTGCCTAATTTACTGCTTTACAGGTTGTTGCATGTTCAGATGGGCGTGTAAAAGTCTATGATCTTCTTGACCCCTTGGATTTGAGAAATTGGCAACTTCAGGTGACATACATATTGGAGACCTTATCTGCACCTATAGTTTTTTTCTTTTTTCTTTTTTTTTGCATTTTTTTAATCTTGAAGTGTGGATTCCATTTTATTTAGAATAATTTACGATTTTTCCCATGCAAAGAGTTCATTGTTAGGCTAAATTTTCTACTTTTCTTTGCATAAGTGGTTTGTTGTTTTTTTTTCGGTGTGTGCATGTGCCCATGTCTTTCCTATTTATATATTTATACTTTTTCTTATTCTTCCATTTTTCTATATTGGGCAGGCTGAATTTCACAATGTTATTGATTCTGTATCTACCTTTGGGAAGGCTTCATGTTTATCTGCATCTGTTTCTTGGAATCCAAAAAGGGGTGAAAGTCAGGAATCTAGTTTTGTTTTGGGCTTCAACTCAAACAAACCGCAGCTAAATTCTTCAAAGGTGTGATGGAATTTTTAAAGGAATCATGCTTAGATTTTTTATGCTAGGAACCAAAATATGAGTGTTGGCTCCTTTTTCTGAGGAAAGCCCTTTTTTATTTTTCTACTTTATTAAAAAGATATTTGCGTAGATAAAAAACTCATTAACTTTAGTTAATAATGTGACTCTGTACTAGCAAATTCAGTTCTTTTCAAATGCTAGGTTTGTGCATATCTGTTTATGGAAATAAGGAATTTGTTCTGACCCCCTTCTAAAGGAGTTAGTCTTGTTGTTCTGTATTGTTAAGCAATTCATTTATTGAAAAGGAAATTAGCGAATGAGCTGTCAATTTTATCTGATCTCATAATATACTTTTGCAGATATGGGAATTTGATCTGGCTCATCAGAGGTGGCTGCCAGTTGCAGAGTTGGCTTTGCCAGAGGACAAGGGAGATCAAGTTTATGCTGTTGCATGGGCGCCAAACATTGGTCGGTAAGGAATTTGTTGACCTTATGATTTCACATTTATATGCTTTATGGAGTTCCTTTTTTGGCTTGAATCTCATATGTATCCACTGGTTATCCCATTATTTTCTTTTCAATTAAATGGACTTCTTCAGGGTGTCATTTATTTATCTTGTTATCTTGTGTGGCAAGGGAATGAATAATTTAATTTGGCATGATATTGGATTTGCTTGATTCTTCTCTTAACAGGCCATATGAGGTTATAGCTGTTGCAACTCACAAAGGGATTGGAATATGGCACGTTGGATTAGCCCCTGACTTGAATGGGTGGCTTTCTGTAGAGAAGGTTGCATCGCTGTCTGGCCATGAAGGCGAGGTATCAATACCAAACTTCTTGTGAATGATACAAATGCAGAGACGCATAGGTATGCACACACGCGTGCATACACACTCAAACACATAAAAAAGTCATATACAAGCTCCTGATTCACAAATAGAAAAAAATGCTTGAGAATAATGGCATTGTTTTCCCTTCCCCCCTTGGTCCAATCGAGGAGCTGAATTCTTAATTTGAGTAGACTATGAATGCTGTAGGGACAAATGGGATCATTCACTTGAATAATTGAAAAGTTAAGATGAGAAGATGGTTGACAATTCAATTTCGGGTGTTAATTTTTGTTAGGTGTGGCAGATTGAGTGGGACACCAGTGGAATGACCTTGGCAAGTACAGGGACGGATGGGATGGTGAAACTGTGGCAATCTAACTTAAATGGTGTATGGCATGATCAAGCTGCATTCAAACTTACTCCCTAGCTGCAAATTGTTTCCTATTACCTGATCTTGGTGGCCTGGTTTAGTTCTTTACTTATGATGAAAACAGCACGGTTCTGTAGTTCAAATGTATCAGTTTTCAAAGATTGGATTTCAAACCCATCCTCGAGGTGCATAGTTATACATCTTGGTCGATCTTTTGTCAGCTAAAAGAGAATTGTGCTAGTTAGTGAAGTGAAACTCTTCTTGAATATATGTTACAGTCACGAGCAGCTGCCTTGTCAAATTTTAAGATGCGCCAATGGACCTACCTCACATAACTAACCGGGAATCATCCCCCGACTTTCTTTTCTTTAGTAAATTTTGGGTTAGGGCAGACATAGGTCTGAATGATTTCTGTATTTTTACAAGATAAAAATATATTTCTTTTGTAGAATTGTATACCATTTTATAATTAAAATAGTAAATTTGGCTTTATACTATTTTAAATATTTAAAATTGACTGTTTTTTATTTTTTGCTATTTTGGTTTCTTTATTTAAAAAAAAAAATTATTTCTATCTTTGACTAATAATGTTCGCTAACACCGTCTGTGGATGTATCATATAAAGTGCATGTAACATTCTTATTTTATCATGTATGATTGTGATACGAACATAAAGCGATCTTGGTAAATAAGAAAACAACATTAGATCAAAATTTAATCTTGTCTTCTCAAATTCACAAGGCTTATGAAGTCAAGTTCGGAGTATGATAACTCTCGGTTCTCACTCAACAACTTCCTTAACAACAAGTAGGAAGACAACTTCAAAAGTGAAAATAGAATCTGAGATCCTACCGAAATCAAAAGTGAATAAAGGATAAGGATTAAATATGATTTCATTATTGTAAAAGGTCTCGTTGGAAGAAGAATCAGGTATCCTACAAACAAATGCAAATTCAAAGTCTGTCATCCTCATCATTATTGTCTTCATCAAGAATATCATCATTTAGGTCATGGTAATGGAAACAATCATATTAAAGTTGTAGCCAACATTCAAAATCGAAATCATAATCTTATAAGTGGAACTTTTCAACAATTCCTATTGCAATCTCACAGAAATTGATGAAAGAGTAGTTGTTGAAGTTGGAGAAGAGACAGGAGAGCAAGAGTAAATAACTGGCCTGGACCCAAATCATTAGTTATGGTGGTGTTTGTATATCTTTTTGCTTTTGGATACATGAAATTCAGAGAGAAGAGCTGGTTGAAATAAAAAGACATGCAGAGGGAGTGAGATTTATAATAAATTAAATATTGGTCTAGTCTGATTTTTTTTTCATGAATTAATTTTTATGTTAGAATAATTAAAAAAAATCACATCATCGTATATATATATGACATCTGATACGAATAATAATTTAATTGGAATGTGTCACTATTCAATATAAGTTACACGTAATATGTTAATAAAAGATAACATCGAAAACTAAAATATAATTTTTTGCAGTGTCGGAAATTAAAATGGCAAAAACTAAAAAATCATTTTGAATATTTTGACATTGACAATTTCAATCTTCACATTTTTACTGCTATTTATTTATCATCATACAATTTTCCAATTACATAATTTACTAAGAATTACAGAAATAAATAAATCTAGAATTTTATTTATTTTGCATCTTGAACCATGAGAAATATTTAGCAAGCGAATTTATTCTCGGTATTGAGACCAGAATTATGTATAACATTTAATATTTTTATTATTTACATCATTATCATTCTCTTTAATTTCTTCTACCCAACACTTTTTTTTTATATTCTTCTTCTTCTTTTCAAAATATTATATATATATATATATTTAATTATATATATTTTTGTATATAAACATGTATTTATATATTTAATTAAATTAATGTATTTATATTTTTAATTATATATACATATATATATATATAATATATTTAATTATATCAATTATATATATATTTATATATTTAATTATCTATATATTTATATATTTAATTATATATTTTATTTTATATCTACATAAATTTATATATATATATACACGTGTTTATATATTTAATTATATATAAATACATATATATATATAATATTTAATTATATATATATATTTATATTTAATATTATATATATTTTTATTTTTTTCTATTTTTTATTTATTATTATATATAATAAAATATATATAAAATAAAAAATTTATTTAAATATATAATTACACTATTTTATCAATTTAAATAAAAATAACTATTATTATTAAAATATATCATCATCTAAATATAATTAAATTTAAATATTAATAAATTTTCCTTATATTCAACCGTATTTAACATTAATTGACCCTAATGTAAGTCTATCCTCCAAATGTTTTGAGTCAGACCTCGAACACGCGAGCATCTTCTAATCATTACATGTACGCTCCACCCCTGGCGAGGCGCGAGACGGGGAAAAACCCTCTTCTTAGGAGCCATGATGTCAATGTCAAGTTGCTTGCACTGCAAAGTGCCTGGCTTTACTCCTACTGGGAGACATCTGGCTTCTTCTTCATCATTCTTGTTACGTCCACAAGCAATTTCATATGGAATAGTCAGAGATATCAAGCCTTACAAAGATGGTAGTAGAAGACGAGGTATTGTATGCAGAGGGTTACTGCCAGTGGATCCATGGGCACCCACCATTGATTCAGAGAGTATAGCTTCGCAGCTTTTTGCTGCTTCATTGTTTCCTTATCTTGGTTTCTTGTACTACATCACTAAATCCAAGACCGCTCCTAACCTAACCCTCTTCGGCTTCTACTTCTTGCTTGCTTTCGTGGGTGCCACAAGTAAGTTCCTTTCCTTCTCTGTTATTATTGCTTCCCTATCTTTTATTGCTTTCTGTTGTTTCCCAATTTCGGAAATATGGTGAACCTCTGTCGGGAATGTTCAAACTTCATTCCTTAGTATAGTTCATAAATATGCTTTTTGACCTATACTTTACTGGTTTCCCTATTTATTATGCCGTCATCAACAATTGCCACCGACTATCTTATATTGAGAATTTAAGGCACAAGACGCAACCATAATAGTTCAATCTTCTCAGGCTATTTCACGATAAATTGTTGTATCCATGTGCTAGTGCTCCTAGCTTGACTTTTAATGCTCCTAAGCTGGCTATTATTATCAGTCGTATGAACAAAATAGAATCAATCAAGTAGGGGAAGTTTAGGCTGAAAAAGTAATATCATGATAAAAAAAACTGCTTCTGAAACAAGGGCATGTCAACATGAAAGAGTTCTTATTTTTGTTATAGCATTTTCTATGCAACTGTTACCAAAGTCACTATTCGCATTTCTTATAGCATTTTCTATGCAACTATTAAGTTTTTTTATTGTTGTTAGGAGCTTTCTTTCAGTTGTACTGACTTCTTTCACATTGGTTTCTGCTCCACTTTGTCAATTGAACAGTTCCAGCTGGAATTTATGGTAATCTCTCAAACTGGGAAGTATTAGTTTAATTCTTAATTGCATTTGGTTCAATTCCTGTTCCATATTTAAATTCTATGCCTAATCTTTATCTTAGTTTTGATGTGTAGGATTAAAACATAATTTATATATTTAATTTCGCCGTTCTCCGAACTTAAAGTTCCTTGGGAGCAAGGGTCAATCCGTATGAATTAAGGTGGGAACTCAATTGCCACTCCTATAGGAATTCAAGATGAAGGGGTGAGGTCAAACATTATAAAACATACAAAAAATAACAGAATTATTCTTGTTAACATTAATATGAAAATCAGAATTAGGAATTAACTAGAATGTTATAAGATATGAGCCAAATGGTATCTCAGCTTTAGTGTGCATATCGAAGTGTAACTGCCTCTCATGACTATGTTTAATTGGTTGAGGCAGCTAAGGTGCAATATGGTACTTCTTTGTCTAATGTGGACTGGCTACATGGTGGGGCTGAGTTGCTTCTCACATTAACCAACTTATTCATTGTGTTGGGTTTGAGACAAGCTCTTCGGCGAGCTAGAGATTCTAAACAAAGCACATCAGATACTGTTTCACAGACTAAAGGCCAAAAGAAGCCTTCCATCTAGGCAGAGAGCATATGGGGGTGAATTTTCCACAACCTGTTGAATTTCACATGTTCTCATGTTCAGTTGTATGCTTCAGTGAGAGCTATATTACTTGTATTTTCTGCAGTTACTCTCTCCGTTGAATTTCACATTTTATGTTCAATTTTATGCTTAATGGCAGCTAGATTACATGCATTTTCTGCAGTTAGTCTCTCTGTTTTACTCTTTGGAGCAATGTCACTTTGCTCAGATGCAGGCTTGTGGAACTAGTCTTCCTATTTTCTGGAAAGAGCTTCAGATAGTAGCTATTTATTCTTATAATATTGGTATCGAAGAACTTATTCTGACCATGTTGGTGAGTATAAATATTCTTCATAATGTACTCGAAACCAGAGACCTATGCGCTGTGTTGATTTTTTTGTTCGCTGTCAAAGTGGTCATGGCCTTGTGCAAACTATTGAGTTTGTACAAACTTTTGTTTGTGCTCATGGGCATGTCTTAACGGGCAAGTGTAATCTGGACATAGTTACAGTGCAATTAGAGAGAAAATGGAAAGCTTTGTTACGACTAGATAAACTCTAACTCAACAGCTTGCATCACAGAATTTCTAGTCTACAAGCACCATTACCTACAACACAATACGAGTGGAATATAGAACTTTTAAAAGTAAATTTACATGCTCCCTGAATGCTGGTTTCTCTTTGTTCTTATTTTTAAGTGCAGAGAGGAAATCAGGGGAAAAATTCCGGAGTATTAAATGGGAACTCTGGATCAAGTTCAATTGGATCAAGAGAGAAATCGACGTCCAAAATGGGTGAATTGCTAGCTGAAGTATTTGCTGAAATTAACCCAGTAAAATCAGATTCAGAACACACGTCATGAAGCCTTCCAAGGTTGTTCATTTGGAATGGCAAAGCTGAGCGGTAGTTTGATTCAGGTGTTGCTGGAGATATAAATGAGGGAGAAAAGAAACATGACACAATGTTATTCTCAAATGTAGGTGGTGAGAAATTATGGTTTTCTCTATTTCTGCAGCTAAATGATGTCGATGGGAAAGAGAAAGAAGGTGGCATGTCATTTTTGTTCAAGCCCTCAGTTTTGATTGTTAGGTCTTGTCGAAGATTTAAGAGAATTTCTTGTGATTCTTTCTGTTGATGATTATGGTTGTGTAGCTTGTGTTCATCTTTGTCGGGGGATGCTGGTGGTTGAACTAATTGTGTTCCATGGGAACAGGCATGCACTCCTCTGTATGTAACTTCAAATATGGTGGGATCCTTGTCTGACCGTTGAACTTGCTTTGTAGCCCAACAGTTCTGTGTGTTGCGGTAAGTGCATCTGTAATAGCTCCTGCACATGCAACAATCTCTGTCAGATTCTTTTTACCGTAAAAAGGCAGGTACCAATTTTCCTTTATAAAAAACTTTTATATCTTTCTTTTTCTGCTGATGTTTATATTAATGTAAGTTATGAAAGACACGTCACCTAGGATATTTAGCTCCTAATATATCTTTCTGTCCATATTTTCTCCAGCTATAGCCATCATCAACTGGTCCTTCAAATCCTGTCTCAGTGCTAACTCTCATGTGTTCTGTCCATTTTGGCAACATCTTTCTGCAATGCAATGTCAGAAAACCTGTTAATGTTGCTGCAACATGACAGGAAACTTAACGTATATGGGTATGTATTACTTCACCTCTTCTTTGAATACCCTTTGGTGTCTTGACTGTCCTTAAGAGACACATCAAAATAGTCACTCCCTGGACTGCCGTTGATGGACAGAGGGGACTCAGGTTCAACAGTTTGAGGATGAGTGATTGATCCACCCCATTTCAAGATCGAAAGAGCCTTCTCATAAGAAGATAATATATTCTGCACAAGCACTTGTCTGGTTTGGGCAGTGGATTTCGTACCCAGTTGAACCTTCAACTGTTTGGCTTGTTCCATCCCTTGAATTAGCTCATTGATTAACATCTTCTGCTCCCAGCTCCACTCACCCGCCATTTTTCAATATTCAATCTCAGAAAATCAATTCAATGTCAGTATCAATGAGTGTTGAAACTGATTAGTTATCTGCTACTTAATGTGTCAAACAGTAGAAGCTTTACGGTAAGGAGCAGAAAAAGGAGGCCAGAGAATTGGAAAGACGAGAATGGTAAAGCAAAAAGAAGCTACAATCATGGAATATGTCCCAAAATAGGAGAGTTTAAAAGATGAGATGAGAGTGAAATTGGTAAGAGTGATGTGAAGCTTTTGCTGTGTGTTAAAGAAGAAAATGGAAGGTTTGGGTTATAAATGGAGAAGGTAGTGGAGAAATTTCTCAAAGTTTGACCAACAGAAAACGAGTTTTTCAGCATTGACTGGTCTTCGGTCAGAGGAGATGGAGCAATGGAGGTCCAAGTGCTGACCAATTCTTGCTACTTAAAAACTTTCTTCTACAACTGAAATAATTGAAGAAAGTCAAAAGTGACGAGAAGAAATTTCAAAACACGTTGTCGTTTTGGCACTTTTAGCTACTCGCTGAGCTAAGATTAAGTGCATCCAAATCCATTTTATTTTTTATTTTTATTGATTAGAATCAACCTCCTCAGATGGTTTATTTAGATTCTTCGCGTGGCTAAACATGTTTAATTTAAATCATTAATCTTGTTTACTTTTTTAAGAAATTAAAAATAAAGTCTGACCAAATAAACAAACAGCCATGTGCGTTAAACTGCACGTTTAACTGTTTATTATAATAAAAATTTTCATAAAAAAAGCAAAGTGGAACAATACGTTTTTTTTTTTTTTTTTTGAAGGAATAAAATACATAGATCACACAATAAATTCTTTTGTACACAAAAAGTAAAACCCAATTTCAAAATGTATGTATAAGAGGCTGTGAGCTTGATTTGACTGTGTATTTTTTGTGTTATAAAATTTTGTTATAATCAATGTGTAGGTATCAACTAGTTGTAATATATGTTTTCGTGTCTTTTCTTTACAAAATTTTACTATGATGAATGTGTATGTGGTTAAGTGATTGGAAAATGTATGCATTTTCTATTAGTAATTTGTCTTCTAAATGAAATAATTAGAGCTTGAGTTTAGCTCACTATAAATTTTATGTCATAGAATGCATAACATTAGCCATACCACTTAAAATTTATGTATGTATGTATATATATATGTATATTGTTTAAACACTTTAATGATATGTTAGTAAGAGAAGACAATATTTAATGGGAGATCAAGGAAATATATGTTACTTTTGAAATAAATGTTATTAAAAAGTTTGTCTCATGGCTAAAATGAATTTTTGACATTTGAACTTTCACATAATTTTTAGTACTATACTTAAGCTTCATATCTTATTATTTGAGTCTTTTTATTAACTTGGTCTATTCTCGAAACAACAGAATAGTTTTTAAAAGATTTATTGAATATTTATAAGTGGTGAGAGCATAAAATAAAATACTTATTTTTTTGTGTGGATAAAAGCGCTCTTCCTCTAGCACCCTTTTAGTTGATAATTCAAACTAAATTAATTGTTCGTTTCTTAAAGTATTTTATTTTTTAATTAAAAATTTTTATTTATTTAAAATTAAACGAGACTCTGTCAGAATTTTTCTATATGTTAATTATAGATTAAAAAAATCGACCAAAATTTATTTGTTTAGGACCAGACGGAATATAATTAGATTTTTAATTAGCTTTTTCATTAACAATAATTAATAAAATCAATAAAAATTAAAATCAAATAATAAATTCATAACTGATAAAATTAATAAACAAATAGTAATAATTTATTATCTATTTTTAATTTTTGAATATAAAAATAAAATTTAAATAATAATTTTTTGATTCCAGTCGATCACAGTATGCAAAAGTAGCTGGCGGCGCACGTACTGGAATTCTTAAAGAAGACCAGCTCTCAGTGTCAAAGAAGGATAACAAATACTAATCCTTTTTATCTTTTCCCTTATTTGCTCTTCTTTTGTTGAGACTCACCTGCTAGCTGGGCACGAAGATCATTTATGGGAGTAACATTCCTTCGCTCGTGCTCCTAACAAGTGAAAAAAATTGGAATATATATAAATGTTTTCTTTTGATAATATTATTTTATATTTTTATTGAGCTTTAATTATGTTAAAATATTATTTTATTAATATTTAACATTTTTAATTAAACTTTAATTATTATTCAATATTTTATAAATTTTATGATTCTGGGATGGATAAATAACAAAACGAATAAATACACGGTACTTAATTAATATGATATAAATTACTCTTTGATGATTTATGATAACTTCACACTTGTTAAGGTATACGAGGCTGTCTGTGTGTTTTAAGCTTCACATATACGCACGCACGCACTCATGGCTCAAGAGTGCATCTCTTACCTTTCCCAAACTTTTGTTACTGACTTGAGCATCGAAAACACCATGCTATACAAACCCCTTAACCTATAAAGCTCATATTTTGCTAGATAGGGTTAAAAGGAAAATTTTCTAGTTCTGAAGTCATCTTTTTAACACTTCAGTATCCACAGTTGGGGCTAAAATTTATTTTGTCATCACCTAAATCATCATATTACTGCAAGCTCAAGCTCAAGTGTACAAGATTGATTTCCAAAAGCCCATCAACAATACTAGAATTTGGGCTGACCCTCCATCCCATAAGATATTAAAATCTCAGCAAAAAAAAAAAAAAAAAAAAAAAAAAAAAGAAAAGATATTTCTTAAGAAAAATATCCATTTGATTATATTAATAAGACAATTAATTTACATGAGATGTATTTATTAGAAATGTTGTTATGAGAATTTGTTTTTTTAAATCATTGATAAATTTCTATTAAACTACTGAGAATAAATAAGACGACAATAAAATTAAAAAGGCTCAGCATTTGACTTTTTGGAGTAGGCTAATGCAGTTAAAAAGGTCAGCAGCAACTTCCTCTACTTAAGTACTTGGCCCAACCTCTTCTTTTCAGGCCATTTTAAAACCCCAAAATTGTTAACAGCCGTTTGCTCCTTTCAAACCAAATCACTTTATAAAATCTTCACCAAGAAACATACATGTATGTATATGTGGAATATATTCTCGATCACAAATTAATTAATTTGAATCAATTTTGTTCTACACCCATCTAATATTCCACAAAGCAGATTCAAAGTGTACGTGATGGTCAAAAAAAGAAAATTCCATTCAGTCACTCCATTCCTATATATTTCCTCCAAACAACCAAGCAATTTGCAAAGCTCGGAACAAATATCCTTCACCCTCTCAATTAATAAGAAGTTTTCTGCTCGCCATCATCCATGGCTTCAATGCAATGCCAGAAGCCTGCGGGAGGGGCTTGCCACGGCCATGAACATTCATCTCTTGGCAAGAAAGTGTCAGAGTTGGTTAGCGGCTTGGGTTTCAAGTCTAGTCATGATGAAAACAAACACAAGGAGTCAGGGCAGCAGGGATATACAACAGTGGGTACCCAATGCTACAGCAAAACTCAGTATTATGACAATGGAACCACCAAGACTCAGAGCTGCTACTCTGAGAAACTGGTGGCGCCTGTCCCCCTAGGTGGTCACGAGAAAGAACAGAAGTTCGATGGACAGCAGCACCATGGTGTCAGATGCCATGGAGAAAAGAGAGGTGAACGCAAGAAGAAGGGTCTGTTCGAGAGGATCAAAGATCGCATCTCTGGTGATAGTAGTAGCAGTGAGAGTGAAAGTGATGATGATCACTGTGGGGAGAAGAAGGTCAGTATCTACTGACTAATTTTTTTCTTAGCTATACGTATATATTTGTTAGAACAGAAATTCTTACATTTATTTATAATTAAGTGATATATAAATATTAATTATAATATAATAAAAAATAATTTTCAAAAAGTAATACATGAAAATATAACTTGACTCAAAACTAAAAATTTTTATAAAAAAATAAGTATATCAATTATTTAATCAAATAACAATTGATCTTTAATATATATAAATGCATACATGTATATTTGCATAAACCTATCATTTAAGCAGCAAATATTGCAGATGCTGATTAGTTAATTATCAATCTATTTGGTGTTTTTCCTGATCTTGCAGAACTAAACTGAGTTGATATGCTGTACGTGATGTACGAGACAAATAAAATGAAGGGTTACTTGCAATGCACTAATGAAGTTACTACAAAGAAAGAAGAATAAATGATATATATATATATATATAAGCAGCCATGATATTATACTATAGATATATGTAACTTTGGCACGCTAATGGAGCAATCTATGTACCTTCGCTTGAATATGGTACTCAGACTGTGTCCTAAATAAAAATAAATATTTTCTGGATACATGACATGTATGATTTTATACCAATGGAGTTTTTACGGGTTTCACATGACTAACCTGAGTTCAAGCCTATCTGGAATATTTCCCTTAAAAGAAAAGACATCTTTGATTATACACAAGGATGTCTCCTACAGTGATCTGTAAATTGCAGTTCTCTCATCAGTAAATGCCTCTCTCTAAAGCTTCACCTAAAACTTGCATAAAACAACATGGAGAAATTATAGAAACAAAAAGTTAATGATAATTATTAGGGTTTATCGACGTTTCATAATTCATCCGAAGATTAGGGAAAAGAAAATCTAGGGTTAATTAACCCGAATTAGATTGCTATTATTGAAACAAGTACATAATTGCCGATAAAATTATTTAAAAAAATACCAAGTTGATTATTGTAGAAAAATAACTTGCATAAAACAAGAACTAATCATATATTATGGATAAACTATAAAAACAAAAAGTTAATAGTTAGGGTTTATCAACATTCAGAATTTGTCCAAATATTAGAAAAAATTGCTACTATTAAAATTCATTTGTAACCTTGAAATAAATACATAACCTCTGATAAAATTACTCAAAGAAAACCAAATTGATTACCGTAGAAAAATAAGCATTTCTACAAATTAACACCAATGGACGACTTTCTTTTTTATTTCCTTTTTTTTTAAGAGTAAGAGAAAGACTTTATTATGAAAATAGCCTAAGTTCCAAAAAGAAAGCAGCACCCTAATAGCAAATATGTACAACCAGTTGCTTATCCGAAGGCAAGGCCCAATTGGACGGCTTTCATATCCACTAATTCAACCCTTTATATATGTGTATATATATATATATATATATATATATGTATGTATATATACATATACATCCGCGATGCTTATCAGTGACAACCATCAAATTACTTTACATATGTAACGATCGTCGTGTATTTTTAATATATTCATTAGAAATTTAATTGAAATTATACATATACTTAATCATTCTAAGTATAAATATTAATGGAAATATACTGAATGCTACAATTAATTTTATATGTGTATATTATTTTTTTAACTGAAGATGAACAGGACCAAACAATACAGAAGCATAAGAGTATGTAGTCCAGATAAAATACATAATATTCTTGCATAAGGGTAGACAACTCAAATTTGAGTTATGCTCTGATCTCCATCATAATTGTCAAGAAGCTGTGCTATTTTGCAGTAATTTCTCAAAATAAAGAAAAGAAAAAAACACTAATGTAACGACCCCGGAAATTAAAAGGAAATGAATATAAAAATTTTAAGTGCGGAAGCGAAATAAAATAGATTATGGTTAACATCTCTTACACAATAACCAAAACGTATTAAAGATATAAAAGAATAAACTAATTAAATGAAATATTACAAATGAATGCTATAAAGAAAACTATAAAATCTTTGGGCTTCTACTCGCCGTCTTCTTGCGGAACGGTCTCGGAAACCAAGTCCTCTTGATTTGAAATGGTTAAGTAAGTAATGAGCTACACTACCATAGTAAGGACATCACACTATCTCACTATCAAAGAAGTAAAAGTTGGTAGAAAACAAAAACAATAAATGGAGCATAATTTGTAACAAATTCATTTATCCATAATAATACCCTTTACTGTCCACTTACCTCGGTGAGATTCATGAAAACAACTTATGAAAATAATAACATTATAAATATCATGAAATCATATTACCTTGGTGAGATTCATGAAAATAACTTATGAAAACAATAATATTATAAATATCATGAAATCATACTCACTCTATAACATAACATGTGTCATACTTTCATATTTCAATCATCAAGCAATAAATTTCTTCTTTTATCAGCCTATCAGTATCCATGGGGATCCATAGGTGTCCCCACTACATGTGAAGCATTCACTTTAACAACTTAATTCTAGGGCCGTCCCCATACCTCGTCTGGTATGAGCGCCAAAACAACAAACCTCAATACCCTATCTGGTATGAGGGTGAAGTAGGTCATCCCCATACCCCGTCCGGTATGAGCGTCAAAATATTTAAAGTCTCCATACCCCGTCCGGTATAAGACAACGTTCCCGGTAGGGTTCCCTATGAACCCGGTCCGTCCACCATCTATCAGGATATCTAGTGAGGCTGTCAACTTACCCAATTATCAATTCAATCCCATTCCTATTTATCCTTAGTCTTCGTTACCCATTCAAACATAACTATTTAAGCAGCAACGTGCATACACAAGGCAAGCATATATTAAATTTACAAAATCAAGCAACAGTGAAGCAAATAGTGATTCATGCATTCAAAATCATAGAATAAATAAGCTACATACCGTAACACATTTAAAACTGTAAAATAAATAAAATAGGAACTACCAGAAAAATATATCAGATTCGGGCTCCATTAGCAACCTTAATTAATTATACATATCTATTAATTCATAAAATACCGTTTTATCATTTATTAAACTTTAATGCCGTGATAGAAAATATGGTGAGAGATCCTTACTTGATTTGGAGTCTAAAACCAGTTTTTCATTGCGCTTACGGGCAGTTCCTAAATTACTTGAATTTCTCCCCGGGAACTGAAACACACTTGCAGTACCTACACATGTCCCCAAATAACTCAAAATCAGACCCAAGGCCTATTCGGCCAATTTTAGAATTTCGGCAGGGCGGCTCCGCCGTGCAAGCGGCGGCGATCCGCCTCCGGTTGGCCGTTTCCGGCTGTATTTGGCCAAACTTGCATTGATTTCTGTGATAAAACACCCCTAGGGCCATCGGTGAGCCAAAAAAATACCAAAAAACTAAACTTACTGGTGGCGGGGCTCTCCGATACGGTGGCTCCTCTGGCTCAAGTCGCGATTTGGTGTTTTACTCCGGTCAACTTGTAGAGGAAGGAACGGTGGTCACAATGGTATAAAAGTTACATCGAACGAGAATCGGAAAGGGCCTCATCGGAGGCAAAAATTGAAAAAACCCGCGGCAGCGCCGCTGGACTTCGGGGGCATTTTTCGGTAAATTGGCCGGTAGTTTGGCTCTGATTTGGCCACAGGTGGGTTTAGAATCGAAATCCGAGCCAAGGAAAATTTTTTTACCTCGTTTGGCGGCTGGAAAGTGCTTCGGTGCGGCGGCGGTCGGTTCCCCCGGTGGTTAGGCGGTCTTTTCTGGCTAGAGCTCTGGCGGCTAAGGTTAGGATTTGGGTGTGAACGATATTATTTATAACCTTTCGCTTTTACCTGAGCCATCCATCGCGATTTAATCTAGGCCGTCCGATCGCGATTAAAAAAAAATGAATCTGGGCCGTTCATCACGATGCAATCTAAACCATCTGTACGCGATTTAATATGAGCTGTCCGTACGTGTGCGATCTGGGCCGTCTGTGCGCGCTTTTAATCTGGGCTGTCCGTGTGCGCGGGAACAGATCTCAGCCGTTTGATCGCGCGCACGCGGATCGCCCACGTGGCTCCCTTCCGCGTGGCCTCCCGCGTCAGCGTCTCTACCACGCGGCGTGTCCTGGTTGGCTGGGACTGCTGACCGGGCTGCAGACGTGACGCAATTTTTCTAAATTGTGGTTTGACCCCCGTTTTTCAATTTTCTTTTCAAAAACACTCCAAGAACCTAAATTTTCACCATTTTTTTTCAAAATTATTTTTAATTAAATCCTAAAAATAATTTTATCCAATTTTATTATTATTATTATTTTTATTTCTATTTAATTAAATTAAACCAATTTAAAAACAAATATTATTACACAATAAAATTTAAAATATAATAATAATATATAAAAAAAATAATAATAAAATATATATAAAAAATAATAATAATAATAATTTGGGGTTTTACAATATATGTGCTTCTCGTTTTGTTCTCTAATAATTGAAGAGAATGTTGGTGGATCATGATTGACTGTATTTTCTCAATTGTCAATTAATACAACAAGCCAGGATCCACAATATAAATATAAGAGAACAAGAACTGAAGAACAAAAAAGCCACTTGGTCTGGATAAAAAAGAAAAGGAATTTATACTTGAAGATGACTCGCCGATTGATTAATGCACTTGTTTTAAGAGAGAATTTCTTGGCCCATCTGGCTATCAAAAATAAAGTAGATTCAAAGATGAATGTAACGCAAAGACAATGCTATAGCATCCCACTAACTTAATTCGCATGTCCTATTCTACATATATATATGTATATATATATATAAGTTGTTGCATTGCCATATTCAGCATTAAAGAAATTAGAGAGAAATTAATATCAGAAAGGAAAAACTCAGTTTAGGTTAATTTGCTTGAGTTAAGATGGCATCCTTGCAATGCGAGAAGCCTGTTGAACAAAACCTTAGCGAAAGCCAAAGCCACCTTGTAAGTGAGAAGATGGTGGCTTCCCTCGATCAGTGTTTGCCCCTAGCGAATGATAGCCATGAAAAGGCCAAGGCGCATGATAACCAGAAGGCTCCTGCATCAGTTGGCTGCGCTTGCCATGCCAAGTCAACAGACAAGAAATTGAAAGATAAGAAGGAAAAGAAAGAGAAGAAGGAGAAGAAAGAGAAGAAGGAAGTGAAAGAGAAGAAGGAAAAGAAGGAGAAGAGCAAGAAGAAGGAGAAGAAGAAGGGGAAGGATGACAGCGACAGTAACTAAATAAACAAAAGAATTTTATAACTAAGGCAAGTCTTTTTGTTTTTTTGCCCCCGTAGAATCAATAAAGTTAATTACTAAATATCTAACTTCTGCAACATGGGTATATATTTCTCAATATTTTTATTTTCTAAAAACAGTTTCTGAATTTAAACACCATATGATAAAAGGTTTAATTTTAAAAAACTGAAGATATAAAATATATACTGAGTTTATTTTTATAACTAATGATTTTAAAATAAAATTTATACAGTAAAATATTCTTTTCGTATTTAATTTAGAATTCCTAATATTTTGATGTTTACTTATGAGCTAATTTCCTGGTGTCTGGTGTTTGCAGGATCTGAGTGCAGCTCTTCGAAGATATATTA